TCTCTCTCTCTGTCTCTCTCTCTGTCTCTCTCTCTGTCTCATTGTGTCATGCGGATTACTGTTAATTTATTATGCTGATCTGTTCGGTACGACATCTATTGCACGTCTGTCCGTCCTGGAAGAGGGATCCCTCCTCAGTTGCTCTTCCTGAGGTTTCTACCGTTTTTTTTCCCCGGTAAAGGGGTTTTTTTGGGGAGTTTTTCCTTATCCGCTGCGAGGGTCATAAGGACAGAGGGATGTTGTATGCTGTAAAGCCCTGTGAGGCAAATTGTGATTTGTGATATTGGGCTTTATAAATAAAATTAATTGAAATTGATTGATAATAGGGGCCCAGAAGTTCTTGTTCTGGGCCTGGTATGATACAGCCTTTACTGTCTAGAAAAATAGCTGACATCCATATCCATCCATCCATCCATCCATCCATCCATCTATATCCATCCATCCATCCATCCATCCATCCATCCTCAGATACCCTGCTCACCCTGATGGCAGTCGCAGTAGGCCCAGCCAATGGCACCAGAGCTCTGCCTGAAGAAGCACCAGGGGTTGGCCTCTCGGTCTGGGTTTCGACAGTAGCTGTGGTCTCCCAGGCCTCGGCCCGGGTACTGCTGCATGTAGTCTGGGAAGTCTGTCCATTTGAGGCAGGGGGAGCCTGAGTCTGTTTGGGAAATTGAGCCATTATAGTAGCCCAGTTCCGTAAAGCCTTCTGAACAGTAGAGGGGAGCTGCAGACACAAACCATCAGTCAGTCAGTCCTACAGTCTTAAGTAACTAAATCACATTACATGAAGAGCAACAAAACAATAAACTTTAAGATACAAGAAAGAATAATTGAAAACAGAGACAAAACCAAATCTAGTAAGATATATGACTATGTTTCTTTGTTAGTAATTTGGTCAAGTAACACATAATTTACAAGCCAATTTTTTCTCATTGAAGAATTTTATTCCACTCACAGTGGGGCCCGGGGTTGGGGATTGTTTTGTTTTTCCAACACTTTGGTTTAGAGCAAGATTTGGATTTCAATGCCTATCTATCAATCGCACACCAGTCCTTTTACTGTAAAGCACAGGCCTCCTCTCTTTCTCTCGCCAGAGTCCTCTGCTCTGTCAGATCATCATATAGAAAAAGAACCTCCTGGTTGAATGGTGCTGTCCAGATTTAGCCACGTTTCCATGAATCAATACAATCAATTACAGTTCCTGATATCCTGTTGGAAAATGATGCCGCTCGGAGGTAATCCAGTTTATTACCCAATGCCTCTACAATGGCTAGCTGGATGCTAGTTCTGCTGGTGTTCATTTTTCTCAATCTTTCCTTGATGTTTACATTTGAAAACCTCAACCTTGCTGCTAGTTAGCTGCTAGCTAGCTAGCTAGCTAGAAGTCAAGAGTTTACAGACTGGTGAGTTGATTACCTCATCCGGATAGGTGACCAAGGGCCAAACGCCATCACCGTAAGCCAACCACAAAAAGAACCACCAACACTTAGATAATAGAAAATAAGAAAATAAACATAAGAGCCTAAATTCAGCACAAATTTAGCACAAATTCAGCACAAATTTAGCACAAATTTAGCGGAGCTGACAGAGAGGCAATTGAAAAATGTCTGCATCGTCACAGATAACTTTTAGGGTATATTATGCTAGAAAAGAACTAGTTTGTATGATGTGCCCAACCATGCCAGTGTGGGGAAGGGGGTTTCCTGAGTTTCTTAGACTCAGTCTCAAATTATTATAGTTTTGTGCTTTGCATATGCTGAGAACAGCAAGTTAGGTTCTCTTTTTTTCCCATGTTCTTTTCATTAATGTAGATTTGTGCTTTAATTTTGTTTTATTAAGTTCTTTGATTAAGCACCACCTGTGGGTCCCCCCCCCCTACTGTTTATGTAAAATGCTAATTCCCTAGAGTCAACATTTCATCTGTATAAAGAACTAGTCCTATTTCCTTTCCATTTGTAACTGAATCATGTTTATAGTGGACATGTTTTCTCTTTTCCAAACAGTTGTAACAGTGTACAAAACACATGAAAAAAAGTAAACATGCTGGTTTTTCTGGTGAAAAATAGTTTTGAAGCATAGGATGCTGCTTCAGAAAGATGGCAGATGGATGAACGAACAAATGAACAGATGGACGTCCAGCATGGAGGCATAATAAAACATTCTGAATGGGTCATTCTGCACAATGAGTATTTCTGCTTTTAATACTTGAAGGTTATTTTGTAGTCAATACTCATATACTTTTACTTATGTAATAATTTACATTTAGCACTTCTACCTGTAGCAGAGTAGTTTTACATTTCAAGTGATCACTGCTTTGTATCTCTGACCATTTCTCCCTTAGGATCCGTAATAGATTTTTTTTTTGTATCCTCATTTGCTAACTGCCAGTCTTTACACTTCATTAGCGGGATCAGAAGCAGCTTTAGAACTTCTCTACGGGTTATAGAATCCTGAAGTGACTAATAAAAACAAGTTCTATGAGGCTGGAGTACACGTCAAATATCACACATTCATTTGGTAGGCAGGAGGTGGTTTAACAAGACATTTCTGAGATGCAGGGAAGACACTTAATAGCAACCAAAAGCACTACCAACTGTTAAACTGATCTATAAAACTGTTTTCTGGGCAGACACTAGACTCATTCACGCACACACACACACACACACACACACACACACACGAGTTATGTCATTTACTGACTCAGAATCCGACAGTCAATCACTCATCATTTGCACATGTAGATTCTTGTAGATTCCAACACAGCTGCCAAGCATTAATACTCGACAGTCAACTCATCCATTTTCCAGTGGGTGTATCTGACAGGCATGAAGTCAGTGCGGCTTTGTTCCCATTAGTGGTGAAGCCTCATTGCTATAAGTCATGAAGCATGAAAATCAGTTAATCTACAGTGCGAAACTGCTTTAACTGTGACTGTGAGCTATAGGTACAAGATTGATACACAGGCTGCTGGTGCGGCTGGTGGGGGTAGAACACTAAACCATACTGGTTAATTGTATTCAGACATGCCGTAACTGGAGGGGAAAGAGCTGAGATGATGGGACAGGGAGGTCTAGAAGGAACAACAGACAGAAGGAGCATAAAGGCTATACTGCATGACTGGAGGGAGGCAGGATGAGACCATAAACAGTCTGACCTGAGGAGAGGGTGAGAATATTTGCATTGTGTAAAACTTCTCAATCTGCATCTATAACATTCATATAATTGCTTAAATGCATGTGCAGTACCTATAAAAATGTTTTACCTTCCACTTGGACTTTTTGAAGTTTCATGTTTTCACAGCCTTCATTCACTGTGGATACTACTATTATTAGACACTGATTAACAGGAACAAAACCTTTTCACGTCAAAGTGAAGCCAAATCTCTAGCAAACCTTAATTAATCACAAATCTAAAATATAGCAAGTGTCAATCCCAGGTTTAATCCCTTTCTTAGCCAACAGAAGGAAGCAGCTAAATTACCAAAATCGAAGCCAAACGCAGCATTGAGCATGTTCAGGGCAGGCTGAGAAAGCCTGAGCAAAGTTCAGCTGATGTCTAAAGAAGGAGTGAGACTAATCACACATGTTCATCATTACAGTATATTCAGCATTTCAATAACTGTGCATTCATAGTCCCAACCTTTTGCTCCCACTTTATCAGATATGGACAATACGTGGTGAATATGTTCAGGACTTAATGCAGGATGTCGCCACTGAGTTTATTCAGGATTGCTCCAAGACAGCTTGAGTCATGGCCTATTTCCTGTTAAGCCCCACCCCTTGCAAATATTTCTAATTAATGGTAGCCATGTTTTTGGACCAGTCTTGCTCATTTATAGTAGAAAAGTCTATCTCAGTTCCACAAAGCCATGTAGCAAACTGAGTCAAAAATCAAAAAAATCTGTTCATATTAGTGTTTTTCACATTATGCAATTATCATGGTAGTCTTAATTGTCCAAGAGTTGTTTTTTTTTGTTATAATATCATAATAATATAATGATATTTCAGGGTATTTTTGTGATAATGATATACTTGATGACAAATTAGTAAAAAACAAAACAAAACAAAAAAAATTATCAATTTAAGAACATTTAAGAACAATTGCAACAAAATAAGCAATATAGCCAGTCTGCCTGTCATTAACTCCTATTTTTTTCCTGTGCTGTAGTTCCTCACCTACTCTGTCTCTTAGAATTACAGGAAACCCTGTAGGGACATTTGCGATGGGTGTAACACTATGGTCAATCTGTAAATGGTGCTGACCAGGACCTTGATCAGGTGCAGTGTTAATTTCATTGATAAAATCTATGATGAAGATTTTTCATCAGCGACCTTTTTTCCATGATGAAAACGAGACGATGACGAGCTAAAAATAGACCTTGACAATATAAGCTAAAATGAAATACGTTTTATTTTCATTGATGAGACGAGATGTGATGAAATTATTAGTGGTAAACTATTGGACATTGAAAGCTGAGAACACTTCACAAACTCCAGTAAACTGTAAATAGTTGGTGCTATGATGTTTTGTTTGCCACCAAAAACACTCACACCTGAGCGTTGGTGAGAGTTGTGAGTTGTATCTTGCTGTGATGGTGGAAGTGTTGAATGGATTTGTGGAGTATTTTAGTTACAGCGTGGCTGTTAGCAGTTAGCTCCGCTTGTTAGCAGCTGAACTGCAGCAGAGCAAGCAACCACCAGCAGGCACAATTCACATCTGTTCATCTCCACAGGACTCCACTCAGGCCCGGACTGTCACAGAAGGATTTATGGGTTGATGCTGTTATCTCAGTTCATCTGTGAGTCTAGCTGTCAGTTTTTTCTGACAGCTGAAAGTTTAGTTTTAATCACCAACTCTGTGAGAGCACATGAGTTTAAACCCCCAGACTAACATGTTGCAGATTAAGAAAGAATTCATGCTTTAATTAAGTTATTTTCAGTGAGATAGATAAGTCAGAATTTACAACAAACCTGGGTACAAATCCAAGTTGTCTCAGATCAGTTATTTGAGGTGTTAAAGTTTTTGAGATCATAAATAGAGAGATATAGAGAGAAGTGTGTTTTCGTAAATTACCCCTTAAACCTGTCATATATATATATATATATATATACATATATATTATATTATATATAAAACATAATGACTAAAATGTGACTAAAACTAATAAGCATTTTCGTCTCAAGACTAAGACTAATCTAAAATGCCTGTCAAAATGTCAAAATGTTCACTGATCAGGTGTAGAGCCTTACATGTCTTAATGAACTAAATACTTCTGTTTTGCTGCCAGGCAATTTCAATTCGTAATGGGAGCACACGTTTCAATAGATTTTCAATAGATTCATGTAGCTGTTAACACTCCCCCTAAAACAGACCCACACAAAAAAAAGACTTGAAAATGACCCTTACCTGAACTCTGCACAATATTCAAGTATCCACCTTCAGTGACCTGCAGAAGACACGCAACATGATGGAACAAATATAGAGTTTGAAGTCTTGATTTACAAGCAGAATGCAGAGTTTTCAAGCACCAAACACATGGCACTTATTATACCATAAGACCATTGCACAGTTCTCATGCAGACCCAACTTTCATCTGAGCTCCTGAAGACAGCAGAGCCCTAATAATACATATTTTCTTGTTGTTGAATTTGCTATAGAAGTGACTATGCCAGCTTCTCCTCAACTATAGTTATGCACCTGTTTAGGTCAGCAGTGTATTAGGAGTTAAAAATAAAAATAGGTGTGACAGACTGTTCCTACAGACAAAAGGACATTGGACTAAATAGCAAGGAAAATTCAAGGTTATAAAGTTAACATATCATAGGGCTTATAGATTATGTTGCATTATTTGCAATTTTGTTTTTGCACAGCCATGTTCAGGCAATGAGCAGTTTTTAACAGTTTTAGAATTGAACCATGACCCCTAACCCATAAAGTATATAACATTGTGCAGATGTTGCAATGTTTGTAATTTTGTTTTTGCACAACTACTTTTTTTTTTATTAACCAAAACTACTTACTGTTCAAAGATAATCCTTAGTTTTTATACTCATAAAATCCTACTACTCCCAAATAGCTAGGGAAAAAAATGCATACTAAAGAAAAGCTCAGGTGTCAGGAGGATAAAGACCACAGACAAATCCACAATGTGAACATGAATATGCATTTTAGATAACATTAATTTACAAAAGTATATTTTATGTATGTTTGTAGAAGTATGTATGCATGTATATGTGTGTGTGTATGTTTGTATGTATGTATATATGTATGGCATGCAGTGTGACACACAGGAGCTGTAACACAGTGCATTTTCATGGCAGATAATGTGCAGATTAGTAGTATGAGTGTGTTAAATGTAGTAAATATTTATCCCTCCAGTGACTTTAATGTGGCACATTCTTTCATAACAAATCTGCCCATCTGAGACATAAACAAACTAAGAGGTTGCTTTAGGCAGGGCCACCAGGGGGCCCCCACACCAGAACATTCAAGTCCTTTGCTCATTCCTCACAATAAATATTTCACTGGCGGACAGTTATTGTTTAAGTTTTACCATGTTAATGTAGTTCCCTTTGCACAATTTAATGTGATTTAATCAGGGTTAAGGGGTTTCAGAGGTAAAATCAGTTCATCCTTCTAAGACACTCCAACCAGTCTTGCCTGAAAGAGCTGTTTATCTATGCTGTTTCACTTAAACACTTATCTGCAATGATGTGATATGAATAAAAATGAGTGTAGACTTTGACCTGCTCAGAATATGAAGCAAACAGACCAGCTATTGACAAAGGAATAAATAAACAGACTGCAGTATTTGGACTTGTTTTCTGTTCTGTCTGTACTCCAGCACACTGGATCTGAACTAAAGCTATGAGCTTAAAGTGCTGACTCTCAGCTTGAACTTGAAGCTGTTTAAATGCACACTGGGTGAAACATGAAGGAATTACAGCCCTGTCACTGTCTGCCAACATTGTGGAACTATGTATGAAAAGGTGCATGTCCTACAATGTTCACCCAGTTTACACGTGAACATCCTCAAACACTTTAAACCTGACAGTCAACCTACCCAAATTCTGTAGTTTCTGGAAATGCATTTTGGAATGTATGCATCAGTGTTGTGCCTTTACACAAACAACATACCCTGCTTATGAGATATATGGGGTGTCTGTGGCCCAGAAGGTGGAGCCGGTCGTCAAATAACCGGAAGATCGGCAGTTTGATCCCCGGCTCCTCCAGTCCGCATGTCGAAGTATCCTTGGGCGAGATACTAGGTGGACCATAACGAACCCAAAATTGCTCTCGATGGCTGTTCCATTGGTGTGTGAGAGCATGTGAATGGTTACTGAGTGTCAGGCATGTATGGTAGCCTCAGCCACCAGTGTGTGAATGTGTAAGTGTGACATGTACTGTAAAAGTGCTTTGAATGGTCAGAAGACCAGAAGAGGGCTTTACAAGTGCAGGCCCATTTACCATATATGTTTCCTACATCCATCCATCCATTTTTGTAACCGCTTCATCCTCTTGAGGGTCGCGGGGGGGCTGGAGCCTATCCCAGCTGACACTGGGAGAGAGGCAGGATACACCCTGGACAGGTCGCCAGGCTATCACAGGGCTTACACATAGAGACAGACAACCATTCACACTCACATTCACACCTATGGACAATTTAGAGTCACCAATTAACCTGTCCCCAACCTGCATGTCTTTGGACTGTGGGAGGAAGCCGGAGTCCCTGCAGAAAACTATGCTGACACAGGAAGAACATGCAAACTCCGCACAGAAGAGCTCCCTCCTGTGATCGAACTAGGAACCCTCTTGCTGTGAGGCAACAGTTCTAACCAATACACCACTGTGCCGCCCATGTTTCCTACACTTACTTGTCATTACTGCACTTCTTGCATGTGTATGTTACATGTTGTATTCCCAGTGACCGCTCTGTTTACATTTTCTTATTGATTTCATTTTCTTCCTGTTCCTCTGTTGACCGTTGCTCTGCAGAGTTGAGACTGTATACACAGACTAGTTTTGAAACTATAATCAGGAGCGAGCTAGAAATGAGGCCATTTGATAGATGACAATCCACTCAAATATCTGATTCTGAAATGTTTTCATTTGCACAGGTTGTTTGGCAGTCTCATCTTTATGACTTAAATAGGTGATGGAGACCCAAATGCAAACTGTCAAGTCAAAAACCTATTTGGAGTCCGAACCCATCACCAAGTAAATACGTTAAAGAAACTGTTATCAAAGCCTGGCTTAAGACTATAAAGAAAACTGAGTGAGGAGATAGGGAGGGGGGGTAAGGTGATAAAGGTGTTACAAGGGTTTCCACAGCTCCACAGCTTTCTTATATGCCTGCTGAACACTGTTGTTTTTGGTTGGATTATCACAAAGCTTTGGTTTCCACAAGGGATTCATCCATTTTATATTTCTATTAGACTTTGAGATCATTGTTATTAGGGTTGCAACAGTATGAGATTTTCACGGTCTCAGAAAATATTGCGGTTTCACGGTATCACACTATTACAGCATTTATATTATTATCAGTGAGAATGACCCTTAAAGTAATGAAAACAGAAGGGTTATGTTTGGTTGAACAAATGTCTTGTTATCATAACTGACATTTGAAACCATTTTGTTAATGGAAGTATGTGTAAAAAGTCTCCCCTTAAAAAATAATTAAACCAAAGGGGAGATTCAACATACAGTTGCATTTTTTAAAAAATACTGTAGATATGCAAATGTACACAGTATGATTACTGTCAGCTTTCATATGACAGTATATAGGCCTACTGAAACTGATATATTGCTGCAACCCTAATTGTTATATTCTATATGTAGATCCTTCTGATACTGTGTGAGAGTGAGGATCTGACATGAATCTATGTGATGTTTTACTTGTTAAAAGTTTGGGACACTGTGAGCCTGTATTATTTTGCAGGTCTTGTAGTTTCTTAGAGATGTAACAGAAAATGGAGTGATATTAGGGGTGAGAATCGCTAGAGACCCCATGATGCGATATTATCACAATACTTAAATGACAATGCAATATTATTGTGATTTTGAATGTGTTGTGATATGCTGAATATTGCGATAACATGCAGTATATTGCAATTAATTACCTTTTTTCAACTGCAAATTATAGGCAAACTTTGTCAACATCTGTTATATCCAGTATGATAAAGTTTCAGTCTGTTCATCTCACTTCAGTCATTTGTATTGCACCAAAATGTATCATGATGATTTTACTATTCTAATAGGCTACCTTAAGTTTATTTGTATTCGTATTATCAAAGATTTATAAAATATGAAAATCAATACTTGGAGTGTGTGTACTGATACAAATATCGCGATACTATCCTGTAGCCTATTGATTTTTTCCCTCCCACCCTAACGGATATGTCACTACAAATTCTTTTAAAGGCCTGAGTCATTCATTCGCACAGACAAGTGATTGCACAAACTAGAGTGTAAGACCTCATGTTAACTTACAGTGTGCACAGCTGTGAAAATAACCTACCCTACGTGCCTTAAACATGCACAGATCTGTATCTGTATATATCTCTTTATTTATCTGATGTTCAATCACTGTGATGAACTCGGGGGCACTGTTGGTTTGTTGATGTACTTTCAAGGAAATTATGTCTGGAAATCATCAACTATTATTTTCCCTCTAATTATGAACCAGCAAAAGTTATTTTCAGGAAACGTCCTATAAAATGATTAATGCCAGATCTATAGAAAAATGTGTTAAAGCTCTCTAGTTCACTGGAGCCAGTGGAGCTAAAGCAGTCCTTAGAGACATAGACGTGCCAAATGACAGCTCGTAATCATCAGCTTTATATAGTCAGAGAATGTTTAGCAACATACTTACCACTGCAGACACGCACAGCGCGAGGAACAGGCAGCAGGGCACGAACCCGGGCACAACTTTCTTCCGGTCCATCCTGCTGAAGGAACCATCTCCTCCTTCCACATACACCGTCACCACCTCAGCCCACCACCTGAAAATCTCTCCTCTCTGACAGATAAGAAATTTCCCGTCACGGAAAAGCACATAGAAAAACACTGGCTGTGTAACGCTCTGGACTCATCTCCAGACACCCAACCCGCTTTGGAGCTAAAAATGACGTGCTGTTGGCACAGGAGAGGACAGACGATAACTCTCTCTCTCTCTCTCTCTCTCTCTCTCTCTCTCTCTCTCTCTCTCTCTCACACACACACACACACACACACACACACTGCGCCGCTGCGAGGCGTCGCTCCGACTTATCAAAGCGGTTTGCCTGTTAAATCAGAGGTGTGGCGCCCTCATACTTAGCCTTTATATCAGTGCCTGACGTTAGAGCAATGGTCTTATTTATGACAGTGTCTATCTCAAGGTGCCACAGATATCATATAGATAGAGATGGCAGGACGCAGGCGGCGAATATTGAGAAGCCCTGGAGCCACATACTGTACATATAACTCAACCGTGCAGATTCACAACTAAAACTGTGCACGCACAACGGTAGAAATATGCATGCGCTTTATTTTCGCAAGATTTACAAAGTCGTCCGTGCGCCCTATTGTGACGCTGGGCACACGTGCACGAGCATAATTTCCACGCACACAGTTCGCCATAAATGAATATAGAAACGCCCTTTATTCAGACATAGGTTTGCATATCGAAACTCGTGCGCCTTCAACATTCATTAGACTTTCATTTACCTGCATCAGTTCAGTTTATTATTATTAAAAGTAACGCAGTCTAACCGAGGTGTAGTTAGTTTGAGGTTGGATATTCGACGGATATTTATTTTGGGTTCAACAGTGATTTCCACCTCCCTCATAGGCAGAAAACAATAAGCAACATAGAGTAGGGCTAATACCCCCACCCGCCCCCACAAACAAAACAAAAACACACTTTCTATTTTATGGGGATTTCCAAAAAAATAATTTGGTTTTCTACTGAAACAAACTCCACTGGTTTTCAGTGAAAAAAGTCTATTTTCTTCAATAGTTTTAACATTACTGGACCCAGACATCCCACACCAATGTAGAATGACTCGGCCAAGTGGGTCTAATATGGCCTAATCTCTCAAGACAGATTCTGCAATTTACATTGTAGAAAGTAAGAAAAAAAAAAGTTGTTTTTTTTTTTTTACAGATGGATTTCCAGATTGAATATGGCCCATCTCTTTATAAATGGGTTAATGTGAAAGCTATTGAAGAAAATAGACTTTTTTCACTGAAAACCAGTGGAATTTGTTTCAGTAGAAAACCAAATTATTGGGTCTTATTAGGCCCACTTGGCTAAACCATTCTACATTGGTGTGGGGTGTCTGGGTCCAGTAATGTGAAAGCTATTGAAGAAAATAGACTTTTTTTCACTGAAAACCAGTGGAGTTTGTTTAAAAAAATTCATATAAAATAGAAAGAGCATGAAACCCATTTATAAAGAACTGTGCCTCATTAGGCCCACTTGGCAAAACCATTCTACATTGGTGTGGGGTGTCTGGGTCCAGTAATGTGAAAGCTATTTAAGAAAATAGACTTTTTTCATAGAAAACCAAATTAATTTTTTGGAAATTCCTATAAAATAGAAAGTGTGTGTGTGTGTGTGTGTGTGTGTGTGTGTGTGCGTGTGTGTGAGGGAGGTGGAAATCACTGTTGAACCCAAAATGAATATCCGAATATCCGTCGAATATCCTACGTCAAACTAACTTCACCTGGATCGTAGATCGATACAACAATCCTGTAATAAATCCTCAACGGAGCATATGTTCAGTTTTGAAAGTGTTTTCCAGAGGTGAATAATCATTTTTTTGAAGCTAGCTTGCAGTGCTGTTGAACTACATTGCATTATACAGAGATAGATATAAACAGTATATAGAAGTATAATACAGAAAAATACAGAAACTTAGATCACTTACTATTTAAAGGTCCAGTGTGTAGGATTTAGGGGGGTATACTGGCATAAATGGAATAAAATACAACAATTATGTTTTCATTAGTGTATAATCATAATACAATAATACTATATAAATGGGGATGCAAAAAAAGAAAATCATCAGGATTGGCCAACATGCATTTCCTTTATTTGCACAATGAATGAATATTACATACATTGTAAAGCATTGTATTTCATGTCTCCATTTGGTAGGAGAAGAGTATGCATGCACAATACGATGTTAATTCAGAAGAGACTTGATGATCACTAATATTAGGTGGGGAAAAAAGTGGATATATTTATGTTGGTATCAGTTGTTAACTTCCTTATGCCACTGCACATATGTTGTTTCTACCAAGAACGGACAAGCCAAACACTGGCTCTAGATAGGGACATTTGCATTTTCGTCTTGGCCACTGTAGTTAGCAGCCTCTCTGTGACGAGTCAAACAGTGTCAGAAAAACACTGATTTTTAATGTTAAACTGCTTTATTCAGTGTTTTTACTGGTTTAAATCATGGGGCCCATTTGTTTTGAAGAGCAAGGGACCTCTGTGGATACTTTGGCTCCCAGTAAAAACCTCCTGAACATCTGGATCTTAAGTTATCAGAGAAGTAAGGTGAGCACACATTAGCAGATGCTGGGATAGCAACCCATCTGTGACGAGCTGAACAGCATAGGAGAAACACTGATTTGTAACATCAATTAAGGGAGAAGTGCGGTACTTTGCACTTTGAGCCCCATTTCTGGGTTGTTTAGGATGAAATAGAGTGGTTAAGACCAAAATTTTGACGATTGCTCCTTTTCAGAGAATTTGGATTTCCCCTGCCTGGCTTAGCAATGCTGTCTATGGCCATGTGTAAATCTGTCCTGAAACCACCCTAAACATTTGTTTTCAAAGCCATGAAACTCACCGAGTGGTCAGTGGTATTCGTTGATGTTTTGACATAAAAATCATAGCAAACTGTGGTTTCCATCCGTGTTTTCGCTATTCATCTCGATTGTGGAGCTATTTTTTCAGCTGCCTCACACCCTTGTGTAAATTTCCGCTTGATCGTTCGTTTGACACTGAAGCGTTACACACTCCAGCCCACTTGATGGCAATAATGCTCCTTTGCGTGGGTGTCGCCAACCGGCAGGAAACCATTGCAATGTAATGGGACAGAGAAAAGAAGCAGAAAAAGAAGGTTGGCATTGTGTTCAAAGGCATCGTACAATTACAAACTCCTTCAATCAGTTCTCACTTTATTTTCTACCTTTTATACAGTGTGAAAATAGTTTTATACAGTGTGATGAGCATTTTATTTACAAATACACCTTGAAACGATAAGAAATAAAAGCTTTTGTTGAGATGAACTGTGTTGTTCAGTTCAGAGGTCAGAATAAATACTCTATCTCCCTCGCTGTGAATCCTGCGTATTGTCCAGTGGGGGATGGCAATGCGTCTCTGATGGCCCACACCACACAACTAGGCAGTGCAACTCGATTTCCACGTCCAACTTGTTGGCCCTTGAGGGCCCACTCCAGAATCACTCTATATGGCACCAGTTGGTATTGTCTGAAAGTAACGTGGATATTGCATAGATTCTGCATCAGTAAACAGTGATGACAAGGTAGCAGGGAATAACAGAATGTTTGTTTTCAAGGGGCTGCTGCTATATCCTAGCCTATGTAGCCTATGTGTATTTAGCCCACACATATGCTATGACTTGGACAGACTTCTGAAATTGAAATTCATTACATCAAAGAGCAAAAAGGTTACATAGCCTACCTCTGCAACAGCTGCCCATTCAATCCCTTGGGTGTGGGACGCTTTTTCCAGTTAGCTAATTTTAGGGACCTAAAAACACGTCTCCAGAACAGGTCTATTTATTAGCTGGTGAACATCGTTGTTCGTTATACAGGCCGGCGACACCTCAGTCTCAACGGAGACATTCAGATTTGCCATCTCCGCAGTGACTATGAGGTCCCATTTGTCACAGCACCTGCTCTCTTTCTCCGTGGGCATCTGTCTGCACTTTCCACAGGAGCACCACTAAGTGCCAGTGACTCTGGGGACAGGTCCGGCTTCAGCTGAGCTGCTCTGTGTGTGTGTGTCAGAGTGCAGCACGGCAGCATATTTCTGTCCAAACCCAAACCAAGCCCGACATTATTTAATGACCAAAGCACTGAGTTTGTGTCACAGTGGTTACAGGCTATTTAACAGGCCGGGTGTGCGCCGTGGGTGCTCAGCTGCGGAGAGGGAGACCTCCGAGACGCAAGGTCCAACGCTTCCAGCGAGAGGAGAGGGAGAAATAAAACAAAATAAGATAAAATAGGAAAAACCTATCTCCCTCTTTTATTTTATTTTCAGCGTTTAATCAAGGTGGAGGCGGGCGGCTGGAGGTCCGAGACTTCCAGAGAGGAGAGAGGTAGAAACAAACAGCCAATGTGTGTCTGTGTGTGTTATGTTCAGGTGTTGTCACGTTAATAACAGTGCCCAAGCAATAAACAGGACAGACAATAGGATTTTATTTATTTTTACACTACATTTTCACTGAAATCTGACCGAATCCGACCCGAGCCCGAATACAATTTATAGCTACATTTTTGACCAAACCCGGCCCGACCCGTCAGGTACCATCAGGCTCGGATCGGTAGCCACACTCTAGTGTGTGTACGTGTCCCCTATTGGGGCCTATCTGAATTTCTGTCTTTGAGATTATTTTGTAATATAACTGAATTTTCTATCCATACATATAAATTTTAAATATATTAAAATTATAAGGCATCTTTGAGTAAACTGCGAGTATCATTTAAGTAGGCTATGTTGTGGCCGGTTGAGTGTCCTCTTTTTTGGAAATCAAAATATGGTCACCCTACTTTAGATGGCTCTGCAGCCCTGGCCTCCATCTCCATCTCTCTTTGCAGAAGTTCCTCCTTGGTATACTCCGGTTCAAATTGGTAACCATGGCTGGTGGCGGATTGCTACCACTGGACAGACAATGAGGCTTCCTATAGAAAAACAATGGATTAGACAAAATGTCAAATAAATCATCACGGAAACTACAGTTTGCTATGATTTTTATGTCAGAACATCAACAAACACCACTGACCACTCTGTGAGTTTCATGGCTTTGAAAACGAATGTTTAGGGTGGTTTCAGGACAGATTTACACATGGC